GAATAGCTTGTCCTACATTTTTGTGGCCATCCTAAATATGTAAAGCTCATGTTAATGTCTTACTTAAGAGGCATCAATGTGTGTGGAATGAACATAGGACATTGGAGGATTTGAATTCTGACTCTGCCTTGTGCTAGTTTGAGTGATTGAGAACAAGCTAGTTTACTTCGCTTTAAGTTTTTGTTCCCCCAGTCAATAAAATAGAAAGTGGCTATACCTAATTTGCAGGGATGTTGGGAGGATAAGAAATACTGTATTTGAATGCCTAGTACAGTGTCAGAGCTGAATAAAGTACTGCTTCAACTTTTGCCCTAGTAATTATTGTCCTTATGACCAAACCTACTTCCTCTTGAAGGGAGTTGCCAAAGCAGCATGTCCAGCCTTTATTCAGGAAGACATCTTTGTCTTTTTTTTAGAGTGTGAGGAGCACAACAGCCTCAAGGAAATGGTCCTGATGGAGGGGCTGTGCTCTGAGCAGGGGCGCCAGGGCTCGGCACTGGCCAGCTCCCCTGGGAAGAAGCCCCTGGAGAGCCAGCGAGGGAAGCAGGAAGAGTTCCAGGCGTATGGAAAGTCAGAAGACATCTCTGTCCTACAAAAGGACATCAAAGATCTGAAGTCCCAGCTGCAGAATGCCAACAAGGTCATTCAGAACCTCAAGAGCCGTATCCGGTCCCTCTCTGTGACAAGCGATTATTCATCCAGTCTGGAAAGACCCCGGAAGCTGAGGGCTGTTGGCACCCTCGAGGGGTCTTCACCTCGTAGTGTCACTGACGAAGATGAGGAGTGGCTGTCTGATGGCACTGGGGCTTTCTACCCCCCAGGGCTTCAGGCCAAAAAGGATCTGGAGAGTCTCATCCAGAGAGTATCCCAGCTGGAGGCCCAGCTCCCAAAAACCGGACTAGAAGGGAAGCTGGCCGAGGAGCTGAGATCAGCCTCGTGGCCTGGGTAAGGAGGGTACTGTTTGGGCCCTTACCTGATTGATGATGTCTAAGTTAGTGCTTAGAGTATGGTAGCTCAGGCAGTTGGAAAAAAGAATGTAGGATAATCAGAAGGGCATTTAATTCAAATTGTAAATTTAGGCTTGAGGAAGGAATAAGGTAGGAACCAGCAGGGCATTGGATAGTGGCCCAGTGTCTGGGTGGTACTAGGTCTCTAGGATTTCCTCTTAAGAATGTATTATAAAGTGACAATATATATGGAATAGTGTAGTAGTAGCCTGGAATCAGACTGCCTGGGTTTATTTTTTATTTTTTGAGACAGAGTCTCACTCTGTTGCCCAGCTTAGAGTGCAGTGGCATCATCATCGCTCACTATAACCTCAAACTCCTGGGCTCAAGTGATCCTCCTGCCTCAGCCTCTCAAGTAGCTGGGACTATAGGCATACGCCACCACATCTGGCTACTTTTTTCTATTTTTGGTAGAGACGGGGTCTTGCTCTTGCTCAGGCTGGTCTCAAACTCCTGACCTCAAGCGATCCTCCTGCCTTGGCCTCCCAGAGTGCTAGGATTACAGGTGTGAGCCACCACACCCAGCCTAGACTGCCTGGGCTTAAATCTTAGCTCCGGCACTTACTAGCTATGCAACCTACTTAACCTTTCTGAGCCTTTGTCCTTACCTGTTAAATGAGGTTAATAAGAGAACCCATTTCAAAGGGTAGTTATTAGGTTTGAGTGAATTAATACAAGTTCTTAAAATAGTGCCTAATGTATATTAAGCTCTCAATGCTATTTGCCATAATTATAATTGTCATTGATACCTTGTGTTGAAAAACATGAGGTAGACATCCATCTTGTTATCTGTCCTGGTTATCTATTGCTACTTAACAACCTCCCCCCAAACTTAGTTTATTATCTTTCATGCTTCTATAGGTTGACAGGGCTCAGCTGGGTAGCTCTCACTTTAGGGTTTGTCATGTGGCTGCCATCAGAAGGTATGCAAGATTGTGTAATGTCCATCTTTGCAAAAATACAGTCTGCCACAGTATTATAGTATCGAATAAATTCAGACATCAGATGGTGTTTGAAATAGACATGAAAGGTCCTATCTAGACTTAGTTTTAAGTGATTCTAAGTATTTATTGAGTTGTTACTATGAGTCTACATGATACTGGCGCTGTAAGGGAGTAAAGTATGGCACTGTCTTTACCTTCACAGACCTTATGGTTATTTTTGGACATGACTGACAGGTATAAAACAGTTGATGAATAGTGGCATACTAAATTTTTTGATTCTGCAGTTTCTCAGGGCAGAATTTACTGTTAAATACCTCCTATGGCTTATATGCCAGGATTCAGTTTTGGGGGAGTTCCTTAGAGATGTTCTGACAGAAATTTCTACGGAAGCTCCATAACTTATCATCCACTCTTTTCTATACCTACTCTTTCCTCTTCTTTCCTGCATTAGGAAATATGATTCCCTGATTCAGGATCAGGCCCGAGAACTATCCTACCTACGGCAAAAAATACGAGAAGGAAGAGGTATTTGTTATCTTCTCACCCAGCATGCAAAAGATACAGTAAAATCTTTTGAGGATCTCCTGAGGAGCAATGACATTGATTACTACCTGGGGCAGAGCTTCCGGGAGCAACTCGCCCAGGGAAGCCAACTGACAGAGAGGCTCACCAGCAAACTCAGCACCAGTAAGTTGGCCACAGGGCTCTGGAATACTCTCAGGCATGCCCACAGTTCCAGGCCCAGGTGGCTACCCCACCTCCACTGCAGCTTTTTAACCCGGGTCCTGTTTCCCCTTCATCTCCTGGGAGCCATTACAGGGTGAAGACTGGCTGGTGGGGAGCACTGAGAGGAGCACACAGGGTTGGAGATGTTATGTTACAACCGTAGAAATGTCATCATCCATGGAAAGGGACCTTTGGGGCAGGAGGCAGCATCTATCTGGTGCTAATGGGGAGAAAGGGAAATGAGACTGAAGGGCCTTGTTGTAGTGCAAAGAGCCCTGAACTAAAAACTGCAAGACCCACGCTCTAGCCTTGATGCTGCCATGAACTTGCTTTGGGCAAATGACTTACCTTTTGGTGTTTGTTTCTTCATTTATAGCATGGTATTGTACATGCATGTACTTCAAGTATGGATCAAGCACCATGCTCTTTTGGACATGGTCTAGGCACTGGCTGGAGGAGTTCAAGGGTTACACTGGTTATCACTGAAGCCCTTTACCTAGAGAGGATTTCTGGAGAGCACCTGTGGGAGTACAGCAGGATCAATCTTTGGAGCCAACCAGCCCATCTCCTGGTGGCAGGTGCAGAGGTGGGACAGGGCTACTTGTCATCACCTCAGAGACAAGTGCAGGTTCTATTCAAAAGCTGTGATAGAACACAGCCATGTATTCAAGAGCCAGTCTATGGCAGGACATGGAGGCTGGAGTGTTCCAGAGGGCAGCTGAGCAAGCGTCTCATGATCAGTGAAACAATTTAAAGTTGAGACGTTTTAAACTTTCTGCCCTGCTTTAGGGTGGAAGCAGTCATAATGGCGATGCAGTGAGCGCAGGTGAGCCTACCAGGTCACTTCTCTAAAGACACAACCTGAGGCATCCCGGAATAATTATCCTGGATACACGCATAGAGTAATCACTATCTGTGTCCACATGGGCTCCTGTGTTTGTAATGTGTAAAGTGGGACCTGTTTAGTTTCTTACTGTTTCTTTCTGAATTTGGTTTGCAGAGGATCATAAAAGTGAGAAAGATCAAGCTGGACTTGAGCCACTGGCCCTCAGGTAATTCAGAATAGAATCTCAAAATATCTGTGGTAAAGGACAAGGTATTTTGTTTTTATTTTTTCTTTTTATTTCTAATCCATCACAGAGACATACATGGTCGGTACTTCAATTAACTGCATGATTCCACTTACACTCTTGGATGTTGGGACATGATTTGTTCTGTGTTTCTCAATGCTTACTCTCGGTTTTTGTACTTGTCTTGCTGGATATGGTAACGAACTTCTAGACTGCAGTCATTCTGAGGAACACACTTTAAACAGTAGGGCCTTAAAATGAGGGCTAGCTATGTCTCCGCTAGTCCTCAGCATATTATGTGGTTGGAGCACTGGGTAGCTAGTGTTCTCTCTCCATCTGTACCCTACCTACTGTCCACCCATAATTGGAAACTAATTATTCTGATTATTCTCTGCAGGCATGGTCCCCTTGGCTTATGTGGTTTTTCTCATGAGCCACAGTCAGGGCTAGGTGATCTGGGTGACCTTGGTTTCACCTGTTGTCTCCGCTTTCCCCACCAGGCTCAGCAGGGAGCTGCAGGAGAAGGAGAAAGTGATTGAAGTCCTGCAGGCCAAGCTGGATGCCCAGTCCCTCACGCCCCCCAGCAGCCGTGCCTTGTCTGACTCCCACCGCTCTCCCAGCAGCACCTCCTTCCTGTCCGATGAGCTGGAAGCCTGCTCTGACATGGACATAGCCAGCGAGTACACACAGTATGAAGAGAAGAAAGCTTCATCCGGCCTCTCAGGTAGCCTCCACTTTCTGAGTGGTACCATCTTTATGTAGGCTGAGAGGAGATCTCGGGAACCAGGCCTTCTAGCTCCACCTTGGTGTGTATCAGGCTGAACATGGCTCTGAGACCAAGTGCCAAGCACAAGCTCAAGTGGGTCAGGATCTTTGCTCTGCTCCTTACCCTACAAGTTACCTCTGTCATCCTGGCCTCCACCGGCATGTATGTGCTGTTGGACGCAAGGCGAGCCACAGTGGGGAGAGTGAGAAGATCATGGCCGACTTTTCTTCCCCAGTGACTCTGTCTGATAGACCTCCTTCTTTAAGATGGAAGACTCTTTCTTTAAGATCTCATCTCTCCTGCAATGATCTTGCTATTTGCAGTTTCTGAGCAGTGTTCTCTAAGCATTTGTGCATGTTCACAGATGCTGCTAGGCCTGCCTGGTATTTTTGGAGGTGCCATTTTCATGGTTTCAGAGCTCTGAGTCCCTCTGTCACCCTTAAGGTGGTTTGCTTCACTGAAGGAACTATCTGCAAGCAAGAAAATGAACACTGATAACAGTGCTTGTGCTTGGTGCCTGAAAGCAAGACTGTAGCCCTGGTACCTCCAGTTAAATATAAGGCCAGCATTCCAGTTCTCTGTAGAATACCAAACATTTTCTTTCATTCATGGGTTTTATAGATTCCATCCATCATTCAAGTCATTCTGCTGTATTGTCTTCTAAACCATCAGCCACCAGTGCACCTCAGGGGGTTAAGGCCGAATCCAGCAGCAACCCCATCAGCTTGCCAACCCCCCAGAATCCCCCCAAGGAGGCCAGCCAGGCCCATCCAGGTAGGCAACAGCCCATGCGCAGTGGCTTCATCCCCTCTCCCTCAGCTGTCTGTTTGACTTTTCTTCAAGGACAAAGTTTTGGACTGTTAGGGGCCTATGTGCATCAAATCCTGGGCAGTATCAAGAAACCATCCTCTTTTGCCAATTATGTCTAATTTTTTTTGTTTTAAATATTTTAGAAAATAAATAATCTATAATAGTCTTTGATCTGCATACCAATTTTAACCACTAGTTGGCTAATAATTTTTAAATAAACATTTTCATTTTTTTTCTCTCATTTCACCCTGGAGGACAAAGAGGCAAAATGTTTCTCCCAATATTATAACAGCCAAAGGACAAAAAGAAATTCACATCTACTGATATCTACACATTACCCATTTAATCTGCACAGTGGTCCTCTACAGAAGGTGGTGCTACTTACTTCATAGCTGAGGATGCTGAAACATCCTCAGACAAGATTCTGCTCATAGTACATGACCATTTGTGGATTTATGAATGGATTGGAAGTCTTTTACATGTACATAGTGCATATCCTGGGGGCAGTTAAAGGAATACATTCATTTACAGGCCCTCGCTTAGTTGCCAGGGGTGCACTGTTCGCTCACAGCTCCATTCCAGGGATGGCAGGGAAAGGGTAAGCCTTGTCTCCACCTCCTACCTCCCAGCATAACTGGCTGGCTGCCTTCAGTATGGCTTGTGGCGAGGTTTGACTCAGGTAGAGGTGCTCCCAGAAGGCATAGTGCTTTCTTCTGCCACTCTCATCTTCCTGAGGGCAAGTTAGCCAAAATCTTAAGGAAGAGGAAGTGTCCTGACTCTTCCTGAGCCTGAGCTCAAAGTTTCTGAGCCCGAGCAGGCAGTGGCTGGACCAGGAGATCATGGGGAAAAGCTGTTCACCCCAGAGCTGTAGACATTGCTTAATGTTTTGGATTTAAACAGGGCAGAAGATCAAGGGTTTTAAAATCAGAATGCCTCCACAAAGGAAGTGTGGGCTATGTCACTTGGCAATTTGGGTGTCTTTGCAGTATTGATCTGATGTGGTGTCAGCATCACAGGGCAGGGATGTGTTTTAGAATGTAATTATTGTCTTCTACATCAGACAGTCTTCACAAGTCGGTCTTGATTTCTGCTCCCTCCATTGGCTACCTGCCCAATAGCTATTTTAAGGAAAGAAGAAACAAATTCAAACATTGGAACTTCCCAGGGTTTCCAAGGATCTGTCTGTAGATGGCCTGGCTAAAGATCACCTGGGAAGATTTTTTTAAAATGTAAATTTCCAAGCCCTGCTCCCAGAGTTTATAATTCTGTAGGTCTGCATTAAGGCCTAAAGAATCTGCACGTAACAAAAGTTTTTCCCTAAGTTATTCGAATGCCCAGACAGGTTTGCAAGCCATTGTGTCTAAGCCACTCCACCAAGGCCTCTATTTTTGATGTGATGAATAAACACATTGATTTGGGATTCTGAAGTTTGTTTCCATCAGAATCGTGAACTGCATGCACTAATGCAGTTCTCCACAGCCCTTGTCCACTCCTGCCCTCCTCAGGATGGGCCCTGACGCTTTCAGAAGAGGAGTTCTAAGTATACAGAGAGTCTTGTTCCAGGGCCAAAGATAGTACATGCTGGGAATGGCACCCCATGGGCCCTTGAGAGCATTCAGGTACAGCCACCTTGACCTGACGTGTCCATACCCAGCATTGCTAGGGTGGGGCTTAGTAATGTCCCCTGACTTCCTATAGCCAATTGCTTACAAGGTGAACATAGAATATATATGCAGGATAGCTCTGGCAGGGGAGGAGTGGGAAGGGGTCAGCCAGGCCAGCCTCTCTGCTAGCAATGATCACCCTTGGCTGTCTCAGCTTGGATGACCACTCCCCAGGGTGATGTTTGATCAGGGAGTGGTTTCGCCTTCTCAATCTTTTACCTATTCTTTTCTCTCCTTTGCTTTCAATGATATGTCTCCTTCCTAACTTTCTGTTTCTAGGCTTTCATTTTCACTCCATACCCAAGCTGGCTAGCTTTCCCCAGGCACCATTGCCCTCAGCTCCATCCAGCTTCCTGCCTTTCAGCCCCCCTGGCCCTCCCCTCCTTGGCTGCGGTGAGACACCGGTGGTCTCCTTGGCCGAGGCTCAACAGGAGCTGCAGATGCTGCAGAAGCAGTTGGGAGAAAGTGAGCACTTCCTGCTGCATTTGTGTGCCTGCACACCGTGTTGCTCTGCATGGCTTGGGCTTGACAGCAGGGTTTAAAACAACAACATGGCACTACATGTTACAAATGGGAGACTGAGGGAAAGCTCTGCTTGCTTTTTTTGGAAATGTATTTACTGTTATCTTTCTGGTGTGTGTGTCTCATCAGTTAACAGGTATATATGTTCATGAGGCTCTAGACCTGGTGCTCACGCACTGCAAACAGTGTTGGACACCACCAAGTATGCCGAACCCCTGACAGACTGGTGAAATGCTTACTGGTAGAGGGTCGGAGAGGGACGGTATGTTTTGCCTATGCAGGATGAAGTGGCCATGAAAAGGATGGCTACATTCAGTGGGCTCCTTTGTGTGGCTATTGTATCCTCCTGTTCCTGACATCATCAGGTTGGGGCAAAGAGGATGGTGGTAGAGGGATTTGGAAGAGGAAGTGATCAAGCCCCTTTCCTATTGTACAAGGTCCATCCCTGTCCCCGGACAGGTAACACCTGGGCAGCTAGAAACACAAGCATAGGCTGGGGTGTCTGATTGTGAACTCTGTCCTGTGACTTCCAAAGATAATTGATCTTAAGTAGTTACATAATGCAGGGAATGTGTACAGTCGTCTTTTAGAAAAGGGTTTGATATATTTATGGGCCGGATGCTTCATCATAAAATCCTATGTGTGTGATTCCTTATAGCTTAGAAAAAATAAGGAAAAAACCCTCACATGATGAATTTGCTCTCTAGCAGTACCTTAAACAACAACAACAACTAGAAAGCAGTTTAAAATTAATTTAAAGCCACTTTCTGTGCCTGTCAAGAAGCTTAGATGAGCCAGAGACTGATGACAAGGGTCACCACACCAAGGATGTCCAGTGACCCAAGACCATAGCCAAGAACTTGCATCCCTATCTTTTAAAAATTTTTATTTATTTTTTCATTTTTTTTTCTTTGTGTTCTTTCTAAGAGGCCATCTTGGCTTCAGATGTATCCCTGTCCCTGAAGCCCCAACAGGTTTGGACCAGCCTATTTCTTTTGTCAACCCTAGAAATGGATACTTTGTTTAGTCTGCCCCCAGTTTGACTTCCAGAACCAGCTAGACCAAGACCATTTTCAGGAGAGTTTTGTACATTCTGTGGCACAGAAGTCTAACAGGCTAACTCCTCTGCTTACCAGCTTTACACAGGTACAGCAGTTGAGGGCTTACCTAGCAACATGAGCCAGGTCTTACTTGAGCCTCACAAAACTCCTGTGTCATAGACAAGGCCAGTGCAGGGAACAGAAGCTCAGGGAAATGAAAGTACTTGTTCGAGGTCACTAGTAAGTGGGAGAGATGGGCTTGAATGTTGTCTTCTGCTCCAGGTTCCATGTTTCCATTATATCTTTTCCACTTAGGATGGTTTTGTTACCACTCTGTTTACAGTGTGGCACTGAACTTAGCCTAACAAACTCTGGAAACTCCTTGCAACAATCTTTTCTCTCTCTTTAGAGACTAGTCGAAGGTGCTGGTATTTCTGACCTAAAACTTGTTACTTTAGTAGTTCTGGCACCCACAATTGGTGGGTAACAGATGCCAAAAGGCAAGAGTATTCTCTGACTTCCGCTTCTTTCCCTTGCCTCCTTTCCCTTTGTCTTTCCACATGTGTCAGCTTGTCTTTGTCCAAAGGAAAGGATGGAAGGAGAGCATGTTATTGTGGGTTGAATTGGCGTCACATCGAGTCTGAGGCCATTGACCAGAGTTTGGGTGTTCCCAGCCTTGGTGAGGAAGATTGTAGCCCTTTCTTTTCCCACCTGAAGGCATGATCCTTTCCAAGGGACCATTGCTTACCAGCGCTCATTGTTTGCTTTGAATGAATTTTCCATGTGGACAGTGGTGTATAGTGGCTTTTCAGGTCTCTGTGGGGCTAAAATCTCCTTGTGTAAGAGCCTGTGTGGTGTCTTTGCATGGTTTAGGGTGTGTGCTCTGTATTGTGTGGCCAGGGGAGACTGGAACATGAGAATACTAATCATTGTTAAGATAGACTTGGAACCTCCCATGACCTTGATTAAAAAGTAAGCTGGCTGTCTACAACCACTGATTTCCCTCTTTTCCCTGTGTTAGGGTGGGGTTGAAGGATGTGTGAAATACGTAAGAAATTATATCTTCATTGAATGCCTACTAAAATTTAGATGCTTAAATTTTTAATCTCCTTTCTTAAGTCCCAGTGATTCTAATGAACATCAAGTATTTCGCAAATTGGAAAAGGAGAGACCCATGATAATACTTCTCAAACTTTGTTGCCTATAGGGATTACCTGAAATGATTTTAAAATATCCATTGCTCCATAGCTCAAGATGTATTCTATGCCAGTTAAGGCAAATGCTCTTGGGGTCCAAGTATCGGTATATTTTTTTACATTTTCTCAGCAGATTTCAGTATGTAGCCAAATTTGAGAACCAGTTACAAACAGACAAAAATTGGCAAGTGGCAATTGCATTAACCTCTCTGAGGAGTTTGACTTGGTTAGAGAAAATAATGCCCTCACTCCTCTTTGCCGAGGGGGAGCTACCTGTCTGTTCTGCTTCCCAAGTTCATAATTCCTGGGAAGAAAGCAATCTTCTGAATTTTTTCCTAAACTATGGTCCTGCCCACCTCTTTATCTCCCCCATGCTGGGCTTCTTTTTACAGAGAAGTCAGATGATGAGGCTCAAGGGAAAGGCCTATGATTCCATAGGATCTATGAAAGTATCAGCGCATGGAAGGAAAGGTCCTCCCTCCCTCCTTGGAATAGTGTTCAATGATTCTTTACACAGGAGTGACGCCATTTTGCAGTTCCTTGAATCACACTGGACGGGATCCAACTAACCACTTGCCTTACATAGAACCTTCCCGAGCCTCAGCAAAAAGTTCTTCAGTCTGAAAGAATTGGAGCCACCATATCTAGCTATATTTCATGTCCCCTTTCTCCTCTGAAAACTTCAAAGGAGAAATGGAAATATTGGCTGGTTGGCTTTTGGGAAAGGCTAGTACTCATAGGCAAATAGATATTCCTATTCACAGGTAAGCTCAATCCTATATCCCATTATACTCTTGACCCCTAATGTTTGGGCTAAGTCCTACTTCTGGAACTTCCTTTGGACTCTGTCACGAGGAATTATAGTAGGATCCAAGAGTGGGGCCACTGGATTTTTCCTTTGTGTACACTGGTGAGTTTCAGATTCTGCATCCATCCTCTACCTCATGTGTGTCATACTAGGAAATACAAGGGCAAAAGTTGTAACCTCTAGGTTATGAGTCTTCATCTAATTGGTATTCCACATTGCCCTGGGATCTCGACATCCCACCTTTCCCCTGTCAGTCTCCAGTCTTAGCAGTCGCACACTGTCTTGCTAATCCTTCCCTCTGACCACCTTGTTTGTTTCTCACTCATATTTCTTTCTGCCTAGGTGTCAGCACTGTCCCTCCTGCTCCCCCAGCTACATTGCCAAACAACCATTTGGAAACCAGCTCTTCCCACTACCTCAACCCTGCCCAGCCCCACTCTCCTCTGAGCGGGGGCTTAGAACTGGGCAGAATCCTGGAGCCTGGGTACCTGGGCAGCAGTGGCCAGTGGGGCGTGATGAGGCCTCAGAAGGGGAGTGTGTCTGGGGACCTATCCTCAGGCTCGTCTGTGTGCCAGCTTAACTCCAAACCCACAGGTAAAGCACAGATCTGAGAGGGTCAGCCTTTGAAAGGAAATCTCATTCGCAGTCTACTCCTGTCCCACCTGGGCAGGGCTTTTTTCATTTCTCCTCCAGTCCCTGGCTCACAGAGTGGATCTAAAATGAAAGGGCTGTACCGGAACTTGATCCTTTCTAAGCGTATCCCTTCATTCTCCCTGCCCAGGGCCTCAGTGCTCTGCAGGGACATGGGAAAGTCAGGGACCCACCTCTTGTGCTGTCACGTTCATGTGCTTCTCTATCCCTGCACCTGACCTCTTCACAGCACACTCTCTCAGACCTTTCCAGAATGCCAGGCGCAGGCATTCACAAGGACTCTTCCACCAGTCAGGAGTTGTTAACAGAAAAGGACACAGCTCCCCTGCCCCACTCTTGTATCCCGTGCACAAAACCCAACTGCCGAGCGGAGAGGTGTAGCTGAGGCTGTGAATGCTGGGATGCAGCTCAGTTCCAGGAGTAAGACGACTGTCATTTTCAGAAAAAGACCGAGCCCAAAGCAAAACAGTACCGTGGATGTAGTCTGTTGTCAGCACCCCTTCTATTGTTCTTTTCTGCATCTTTTTCCTTTCTTTGGGGTACTCCTTCCTCCTCTCTAATCTACCCCTTGGATCCCTAGATCCCCGCAGGCTATCTTTTCTTCCTATTGTATTAAAAGTGATTTGGGTGAAACATTATCAATCAATAACCACATAGGGTCATGTACTTTTACTTTAGGCTTTCTCTCTAAGGGTGGGAGGAAGGACTTTGTCCCTTGTTAAAGAGTGCTCAGTCATATATCAGTAAGAAGAAAGGGATTAGAACACAGGTAGAGTGAGGACTTCCCTATCATCCTCAGAGTCACACCCAGGAGGTGTCATTAACTCTCCAGATGCTAGGCGGGCCCTGTCCAGAGCCTTCAGTTATTTTTTAAAAACATGTGGAACTCCCTTTCATGTATGAGACCCTTGTGTGGGAGGAGGCCCATGGGTTTCCTTAGCAAGGGGCTGTCCTGTGTTTGAAAGCCCATTTACTCTTTAAACAAGATCACCAGTGCCCTGGGTGCCTGTGTGCGAGGATGCAGTTGGCAGAAGGCTAATGATGTTTAGGGATCTTGCTGAGAGGCCACTGGCTGAGCCCCACCCCCACTAGTAACTGAGATTCTTCATCTCCCACCTCTTTCCACATCCTGGCGGGATGGCTGCAGGCGCCGACCTGCTGGAAGAGCATCTTGGTGAAATTCGGAACCTGCGCCAGCGCCTGGAGGAGTCTATCTGCATCAATGACCGCCTGCGGGAGCAGCTGGAACACCGGCTCAGCTCTACGGCCCGTGGAAGTGGTAGGAGAGGCCGAGGTCTTCCTGTTTCTGGCCGTTTTGGGGGAGCTTATGAAGGGAGGGCCCGTAGGCAGAGCTTCACAGATTTCAGAGCACTTTGATATGCTTTACTTCCCTTGCTCTTTGCAAATAGTCCAGCAAGGGAAGTGGGGCAAGTACCGTTACCCCTACTTTATGGACATATCTGAGCTGAGAGGATAACTCTCCTCGAGGCAGAACCAGGTCTGGGCCCCGGAGTTTCCTGACTTCTCAGCTCATCCTTACTCTGCCTATATACTGCCTGCTGATTCCTTGTGCCCTTGTCTTGTGATTGGCAAGTAGTAGAGCCAGATCTGCAGGGGTGCCCCCGTCCCACTGGCCACTTCACTGAGGTGGCCTTTCTCCCCACACTCTCCTGAGCTGCTGTCACTTGGAGGCCCACCCTTCCACACATTGTTGTCCTGCCTACATTGCAGCAGCAGCTTTTTAGGAAAAAAAGAGCCTCCTGTACCATTGCAGTTATGGCATGTGATAATGCGTGCAAAGACTCCACTGAGAAGAGGCACACAAAAACCAGGCCTTCACCCTACCGTGCTTTATTTAGCTCCAGGCCTTGAGTCTCCAGGGTTTTCTCCTGGGTTGGGACAGTATCTTGGTGAGATATAGAATGGGAAATTTTTAGAAGCATCTGTTACCCAAATGTGTACTTTCAGGGACAGGATCCACCTCTAACTTCTACGGTCAGGGCCTAGAGTCCATACCTCAGCTCTGCAATGAGAACAGAGTCCTCAGGGAAGAAAACCGAAGCCTTCAGGCTCAGCTGAGTCACATTTCCAGAGGTGGGTGGTCAGAAACCACGAACTGCAGTCACTCCTAAATCCCTCTCTTCCTTGGACACACTAATCACCAATTGGAAAAGCAAAGAGAAGAAGGTAGAGATAACAGAGCTACGCATATCCACCAACGCAAAATTCTAATAGCTATTCTCAGGCTAAAAAGGGCTGCTTCCTCAGAGGTCTCAACTATGGGCCCTCAGACTCCTAGATTTCCGGGGGCGATAGCCCAGGGAAATCCATCACTTCTGTGCAAGCCCATCTGCATAGATCCAGAGTCACTAGCTCTCAAACTGGATATCAGTTTGCTATCTGTTCTACCTCCTCCCACTCACAGCCGATTTGGAACCAGGAAAGGAAGGAATGTGAGTGAATACATTCCCTCTCAAGTTTCTCCAGACTTTACTGCAGCTCTGTGTGTCCCCCTGGTCCTTCTGTGTCACCCCTCTACCTCCTCACCATGTCCATGCACTCAGGGCTCCTCTCTGGTCAGTACTGCTGTGACTCTGTGTTGGCACACATTGGCAATTGTCCTCCAGAATGTTCCCGACCCTGTTAAATGGGCATTCATAGGTGGATGTCATTTCCCATGTGGTCTAGGAGGCAGCTGACTTAAGTGTTAATTAACTTGATTAAATCAATGTATTATCAATAACAAATTATTTTTATTTACAAATATTTATTGAACAGCCATAAAAAGACTGAGAATAGTATCCAAAAGGATTAATCCCAGAATGAAGGAATCCATGTGGAAAAGGAAAAAGACATCAAGAGATATTTCTAAATTAGCCACCTCAGAGCAGGAAGACTTGAGAGGAAAGGTCACTGCTTGGGGAAGATAACAAAAGTTAATAGATAAGAGAGAAGGCAGAACTACTAAACTACCATTGCATGCTTGGAGAGACTAGAACAGACCTCACAGGTGAGAAGACAGTAAGAGATTTAAATGAGCACAATCTGCAGGCTCATTCCACCCCGGAAGACTGGCCAAACCTGCAGCCTTATTCTCAGAGTCCCTGTCAGTAATCTTAGAAGATCTGTGAATATCAGAGAAGTGCCACAAGTCCAGAAAAGAACAAACGTCCCCATTTTCAAAATTATGAAAATGATATATTCTAAAAAGAAATCTTGATATTGATCTTTGTCAAAATTCAAGAATGGACTATTGAACAGATGATATGCGAGAGTTGGAAAACGGTGAGTGTTAGAAACCAGAATGTTTTCTCTAAGAGTGAGGTAGGCCAGATTAAATCAGTGGAGTGAAGGGCATTGCAAAGAAAGAGGCGCTCTGTTCCCCAGGGTGTGTGGGACAGTGAGATGGCACTCCCTTTGCCCACCAACTCAGGGCCTTCCTGCCCTTCACCTTAGTTCTGTTTGTCAAGGCGGATGTGCTTGGGCTCATCCTCCTGCTGAGCTTTGGCCCCCACGATATGAATACTCCTATGTTCTGCTCACCAGAGCGCTCCCAGGAAACAGAAAGCCTGAAGGAGGCTCTGCTCTCCTCTCGATCCCGGCTTCAAGAGCTGGAAAAGGAGCTGGAGCACCAGAAGGTGGAAAGGCAGCAGATTTTGGAAGACTTGCGAGAGAAACAGCAAGAGATCTTGCATTTCAGGGAGGAACGGCTATCCCTCCAGGAAAATGACTCCAGGTAAGAGGGGGCCCATTGATAGAGATGCTGGTCCCATTTTTACATTAGAAGAAGGTATATTGGCAAGACAGTGTCCTCTTTCGGAAACCTCAGTTTCCCTTCTGCTATTCCTGATTTAGGGGTAGCTTTGAGCAGAAGGAAGGACTTCTCTGGGAATGCCTTTTTTACTCCAAAGTTGAGAGAGTAAAACCCTGTTATAGAAGGCTTCAGCATATCAGAGACTGGAGAAAGAATATTCCTGTGCTTCCAGTTAGTTAGAGGACATTTGTCTCACCATAACCTAGGAAGCTTCTATACTAGCCATGATGCTTGTTCCTAGCACAAGCCCTGTAACTGCTTCTCACCATGAAAAGAGCATTGTAGGAGCAATAAGAAGATTGTGCTGGTGTTTCTGTTCTGCTCGTAGCTAATGTAGCTAGTGGTATGACTTCAAGCAAAGTTACTTTACTTCTCCCAGCCTCTGTTTCCACATCTGTAAAATTAAAGTGATGGTCCTCATGACCCCCTGAGTTGACTTCTGGGGATAAAACTCTATATGGAAAGGTCGGCTCCCAGCTTATTGCCCTGGTATGGCTGAAAGGCTCTGCCATCTCAGTGGGCCCTTGCCTTTTCCTTGGCAGGCTGCAGCACAAGCTGGCCCTCCTGCAGCAGCAGTGTGAAGAGAAACAGCAGCTCTTCCAGTCCCTCCAGTCAGAGCTGCAGATCTATGAGACACTTTATGGCAATTCCAAGAAGGGGCTGAAAGGTATGTGTCCCGCACCCCTGCACTCCATGAGTTCTCTGCCCTTTCTTAGGATGCCAGTGAGGTCTTCTCTTTGGGAGTTATGGAGATCATGGCAATCTTCAGAGTTCTGTCCCAGAAAACCCCTCATCAGGCCTGGGGCTCCCAATGAGAAGGGAGTGGAGCTCTCATACAAAAAGTCCAAAGGTGAGATGTTGGTGGCATGGGCAAGACCCTGCCTGAACATCCTTAACCATGTACCACAAGAGTAAATACAACCGCTTAGATGGCCAGAGGCAAGTTAGTCAAATGTCTAGATTATAGCATGTTTTTTAAAGAGATAGGGTCTCTCTCTGTTGCCCAGGCTGGAGTGCAGTGTTGTGATCAAAGCTCACTGTGGCCTCGAACTCCTAGGCTGAAGCCATCCTCCTGCTTTAGCCTCCTGAATAGCTGGGACTACAGGCATGTACCACTATGCCTGGATAATTTTTCTTATTTTTTGTAAAGACAAGGTCTTTTGCTATATTGCCTAGTCTGGTCTGGAACTCCTGGCCTCAAGCAATTCTCCTGCCTCCCAAAGTGCTGGGATTTCAGGCATGAGCCACTGCGCCTGGCCATTTTTTTTAAAAGCAAAACATTGTCCTAATGATATCATCATTTGAAAAGTTCTTTAATATTGTAAATAATACGTACTATCAACCCATACAGCCAATGTAGGAGGCAGTCCACTCCCACCCTGACTCTTTCCCTAGTGGGAAAAGATACAAAAGCAAAAACATATAAATACCACCAATAGGACCTAAATTTCAATCCTAGATTTAAATGTTAAGTGTATTTATTGAGGAAATTTTCTACCTGCTGAAATAATAATCTAGCACTTGAGAATCTTGGTATATTTCCCCATTCTTCTTAAAATGGAGAAGAGTATTCAAAACATAATGTTAATCAGTCACAGCAGGGTGGAACAGAGGGCTGACATCAATGTGATGAAATTTAGCCAAGATAAAAAACAAAAATCCTAAGCTTGATTAAAAATATCAGTGGTAGAAATATAGGATTTGGGGCCTGGCTCTGAAGCCATTCATGGACATGAGGGTGGGGACGTTTGGTAGAAGCATGTGTAAGCAAGTAAGTTGTAGGCCAAGGTGCGGGGAGTTAGCTACTCTCCCAGCAAAAAAATTGGGTCCCACTGGCAGGGGTCATAGCAAGGGATAAGGAAAATAATAGAAAATATAGAATATAGAAATAAAAGAATACACAGAGATGAAAGTACAGTTTTTATAAAGTATAGATTTTATAATAGTTGGGGGAGTTGGGAGACCCCCAGCATTCCTGTGAGCTGTGATGCCCCGAGTGAAGTTTCACATCAGTATTTATTGGTACAGTGATTGTTTGCTAGGGGTAACAGATTTACATAATAACAGGTAGTTCATTTTAGGTTAAAAGTCTCCCCAAAAGCTTCTAAAGATCCCTTGATTAACTCTATCTATGTGACCAAATGGTTACAAAATCTTTCTAAGACAAACTTCTAAGATAACACTATCACTTAGCAGTAAGGCTAAACAGAAATATAGTGGCTCTATATTTCTTTATCTAGATTTTTGTTGATTGAGACAGGTAGTCAAGAGTGGAGCAGGAACTGTCTCTTAGGCTAATTGCTTTTAGCCACGGGTGTCTGTCTGTCAAGCGGGCACTCTTTGATCAGTTCTCACCCCATGGCTCCATGCCAAGCTTTGTTGCACAGAAGCAGGCGCAACAAGCTGACAGGTTTGAGACACAATGTCGCCTTGGAAAGTGTTGCCGCTGATCTGTGAGATGGCCTCCTGAGGCGAGGCAGCTTTTGATATGTGAACTAACATGTTCACATATTCCTTCAGGGCAAAGCCCTGAAAAACTCCTGAAATCATTTCTGTCTCTGTATTATAGGGGACATTTCTATAGTGCAACACCAAGGGATTCTAGAAAAGTCAGCTCATTCTGTGACCATAGAAGCATGTGATGTCCACACATGGAGACCATGTCTGAGATGTGTTAGACTGAGGGGTGCCATCTTGTACAAGGGCATTGACACTCCAAGGAACATAATGGAAACAGGGATCACAATGGCGTGAGACAGAAATCTCGAACTAGTCAGAGAAACTAAAACATTTTAGGCTTTGAAATGATCATGAAGAGATGAAAACTGGCTTCAATATTTAAAGAACTGCTGGTTGAAGAAAAACTGATGTGTTTTGTGTCCCTCTGAGGCCTGATCAAAAGGTGAAGGGCAGTGCAATTTACACTAGAATTTTCACCATTCAGGCAAATTTAAATTTTCATAAAACTTGATTTAGTTTCCTAAGTTGCTAAAGAGAAGGTGAACTAGAACTTGAAGATATATAGGGGACTCACCAGACTGAGGGAAGAACTTAAGTACAAAGTCATGGTGAGTTCTGGGTCAGCAGAGAGACCAGCGTTACCACGGGAGAAGCTCGGTACCAGGAGAGTGAGAAGTCAGGTTGGTGGAACAGAGAGTGGCCAGAACACAGAAAGCCTAGAAGTCAGGAAAAAAATTTACATTCTGTGTAGTAGACAATGAAAGGATGTTTGGTTTTTTTTCAAGGAAAATAAGTACATGATGAAAATAGAGCTTTGAGATGCTAAGTCTTGTGGGCCATACTGGAGTTGGGAGACAGTAGAATCCAGGAAACCTATAGATGGGTCTAGTGATATTCTGGGACATTAAGAGGTGAGAGTCCAACATAAGGTGCTCTTGGGAAGATAAAAGGGTTTCAATAGATGGAAAAATGTTTCTAAAAAACAGTGAGCAAAATTTAGTGAAAATTTGGATTTAGAAAGAGAGGTACAAGCATGAAGGAACTCTGGACACAATTCAAGGATGAATTATTTGCCAAAGTCTCCTAAACCACTTCATCCTGAACTACCTCCCGTTTCATGACTTTCTCCCAGTTTATGGGTCTTTTAGGATTCATTTCAAAGCTACTACCACTAAAGATCCATAAACCCTTATCCTTAATTCCAAAATCTAGTAAGATCTCTGAAGTAAAAGCTTTTCATATACTAATTTGGTGACTACCTAACTGAACTGATGGGAGGATAGTTGTAGTCTTTATTTATATACCGAGTGAGAATATTCACATAGCTCATTGTAGAAATAATTATGTGTTTGACTAAGGGCTGTGGCCCAGATGCTATTGGGTACATGTGATATATGGTATATACACCCTATTGCCCTGCTAAAAACCAAAACAAATTCTACCTTTGAAACACATATGGCCTTAAGGTTTTCAGGTAAGGGATTGTGGCTTTGTGGAATATTTCTTAGATCTGTTCATCCCCAGTACAAAGAAATAGACTCTGTGTGGTAAATGGAGGTAAAGAAAAAAACACAGAAAAGCTGGAAAATTCACTTAGTTATGATCACTGATTGAAGGTGCCTGGCACACGTTCCTACATGCTGCAAAAGGCCTCCTCCTTCTTGTCTTTGATTTCTGAGTGTGAAGGTCATCAAATCTCCTTCTCCCTCACTCTCTACCCTTCTTTAGCTCAGTGCTGACCTTCTGCCTTGGAGGATTCTGCCTCTAGTCTGCAGGATTAAGGTTACTATGGAGATGAAATAACAGGCTTGTGCTCATTCTCCAATCAAGTGCCCTCTAGGTGCATGTGGGGATGTGTGCCATCTCAATGTGCCCCAGACCCCACACAGAAATGGTGACATCTCTCTCAGAGATGTGTTGTGCAAGACCCCGAGATTACAGTCCTTGGCAGAAAGGAATGTCACAGAGGATTGTTCTGGCAAATGCTTGGAAATACTTGGGTCAGTGCTACCAGCCCCCTTCTCTCTCTTCTTTCAGCTTATAGTCTGGATGCCTGTCACCAAGTCCCTTTGAGCAGTGACTTGAGCCATCTGGTGGCAGAGATACGAGCTCTGAGAGGGCAGCTGGAGCAGAGCATTCAGGTGAACAATTGTCTAAGACTGCAGCTGCAGCAACAGTTGGAGGGTGGTGCTGGCAAAGTCAGCCACGGCCCCTCCTCAATTAACCAGAACTTCCCAGCCACCGCTGACCCTGGAAACAAGCAGCCGATCCTCCAAGGTAGGAAGGAAAAGGGAATTAGGAGGCCCTCAGCCAATGGGGAGGTCACTAGGAAGTCTGTGTTGGAAGGGGCAATCTATTTCTCTCATGCTCCTTAGGGGCAGGTTGAAATTGGAGATGCTCTAATATAGCACCCCGCCTGAGAATGTGGGATTCAGGTCAGACCTGGCTTCAGATTCTGAGTTTGCCCCTTACAGCTTGTTTGTTTCAGGCAAGGTGTTTAAACTCTTAGGTATTTAAACCTTAGTTTCCCTTTCTTTAAGGTGGGAATAATAATTATATATATACCCTATATGGTTATTTTGAGGATTAAATAAAATAATTTATTAGGTCATTAAATATGAAATGTCCGAAAAAGTTTAGTTTATTATATCTGAAACAAGAAGCAGTACAATTAATCAAAGTGCGTGCCTAAACTGTCAGTGCAGTTTTGCCATCTTAACGGTAGCTTGCTTATACCAACAGCGAAGAAGCCCGGAGAGCGAATCGCAATGAAATTGCAAAAGGCATTTTCCACAGCTTGTTGAGAATTGAATACTTTTCCTTACAAGAAGTGGTCCAAAGCCTGGAAGAAGTGGTAGTCAGTTGGTGCAAGGTCTGGTGAATATGGTGGATGACAGAGAGTTTCCAAGTCCTGCTGCTATAGTTTGAGCAGCATTGTTTTTTGCTACATGTGGTTTTGCAAGAGGATTGGCCTGCCTCTGTTGACCAATCTTTGCTGATTAATCGCAAGTATCCTCATCATTTCATCCAGTTGGTTGCAGTAGACATCTTCTGTAATTGGTTGACCGGTTTTCATGAAGCTAGAGTGGATAATACCAGCGATGGACCACCAAACAGACACCATTAGCTTTTTTTGATGAATGTTTGGTTTTGGACTGTGTTTCAGCACTTCATCTTTATCCAATCATTGAGCCAAATGCTTGTGATTGTCAAAAAGAATCCATTTTTCATTACATGTAACAATATGGTGTAGAAATGGTTTACCTTTATGTCGTGACAGCAAAGAAAGGCAAGCTTCAAGATGATTTCTGTTTTGATGCTTGTTTAATTCATGCAGTACCCATCTATTCAGGTTCTTTACCTTGCCCATTCATTTCAAATGATCCCATATTGTTGGAATAGTAACATCAAACCTTGCTGCTAATTCACTCGTATGTTGAAATGGATTCACTTCCACTACAGCTTTCAGCTCATCATTATCCATCTTGGTCCCAGGTCACCCACATGGCTCATTTTCAAGATTAAAATCACCAGAATGGACCTTCTCAAACCATCAATGTACTGTGTATTCATTAACCATAGCCTTCCCAAAAACCTTGCTGATATTTTGAGCTGTCTGTACTGCATTGATTCCATGATGGAACTCATTCATAAATAACATAAATTTTTGATTTATCCATTGTTTCACAAAAATTACTCTAAAAAAAATTGAAAAATAATCACAAGCCAAAATGTGCATTTGAAAGACTGAGGATGTACTTTCACAATATAAATAAAACAAGAAGTGTCAAAGTGAAATGCCAGTGATATCAACTGTCAAACTTAGTACTTAAGGAAATCGGACATTCCATACTTAATAACCTAATCTAAGTGCCTGACACAATAAGAATTGCTCGATAATTAGCTAATTAGCTTGATAATTATCTATTCCTTGTATTTACATGGTGCTTGAATATTTATCAAGTGTTTTCAAATATATAATTTCACCTGAAGTAGAGCAGGTTTTACTGTCTCTGTATTTCACATGAGAAAACTTAGACATTGAGACATTAATGGACAAGCTAGGTTTTACAGGAGACAGGGCCTGGATTAGAGCCAGATATTTTGATTTTTAGCCTATGTCCTAGAAGTCAGGATAAAATTTTGCATTCTGTGTAGTAGACAATGAAAGGTTTGGTTTTTTTCAAGGAAAATAAGTACATGATGACAATAGAACTTTGAGATGCTAAGTCTTGTGGGCCATGCTGGAGTTTGGAGACATTAGAATCCAGGAAACATATGGATGGGTCTAGTGATATTCTGGGGCATTAGAGGTGAGAGTCTAATGTAAGGTGCTCTTCCTTCTACCTCACCATGCTCTGTCTCAGCATTGCTGACCTTCCCAGATTCCCGAGTCTGGCTTCCCTTTCCCTCACATGCGGGGAACTCAGTGTATGGCAAAATGTTCCTTTCCCTAAGGAAACCAGGGCTCTGGGGAAATATTGCATGTATTTTTGGCAATTAAGTAAGAAAATGTATGTAGACTGCCAAGCATAGAGCCCAGGCCCTAGGAACTGCTCAGCTTAGTTAGGTGGATGCCTCGGCCCTGCCTCAGGGCAGCCGGGATGCTTGTAGCATCCAGCTATGCTCCCTATCTTCCTTCCAACTGGGCTCTCTCACTGGCTCAGTCCCTGCTCCTCTTCCACCTGCACCCAGAGGCCTGAGCTGGAAAGCAGGCTCCGAGCTACACGTGCCTGAGCAGAACTTTTCCTTTCTTTTTTGTGATAATTCCTCCACGGCAGGGCTGCTTCCAGGCCTCCAACAGGGCAGCGTTAACCCACCAAGTCTTCTGCCTCCTTTCTTCTCATAGGACTCTTAAGTCATCAGGATGATGACTAGAATGTTGGGTTTAATCCCCTGTGAATCCATTCATTCTTTGATTCAACATTTTGACACATCTGCTATATAAACTTATATATATTTCTATTTAGTTACAAGGTGTTGTATTTATAAAAATATACCTAATAATTTTCAAACTAGAAGTTGCTTTCTCATGGATCCACCCTTCAATTGAGGGAACATCTTTTTGTTTTGAAGAATGGAAACATGCTGAGCTGAGTGGCTTGTTGGCTACTGCTTTTGTTTGTGGTATATGGATGATAGCATTCAATAGGTGAGTCCTGCCACCTTAGGTCTTAGATAGTGAAGGTTAGGCTGTGCATGTGCTTGGTGTGCAGTATGTTCCAGGGTTCCTCAAAAGTGTGGTTTTCTCTACTCCCTAGACTCAGCTGCTTCCCCGCCAGTCCGGGATGTCGGCATGAATTCTCCAGTCCTGGTCTTCCCCGGCTCCTCTTTATCTGCTCCTGGCTCAGACACTGCCACATTCAACAGGACAGATGGTAAATATGGCAACTGAAGGGCTCAGGGATTGATGATGGAAAGTTATTAAGGCAAACAACCTTTGGTTGCCAGTAGACACATTATCTGTACTTGGAAATTTTTCTCTGCATGCCCCAAAGCCATTAGCCCTACTCATTGCATCTTCTGTGACTGTCTTCCTTGTCATTATTCATCTTCCTACAGTTTTCCTGCTCTTCAGTTTCTGCTTCATTGTACTGTAATCTCTCCTGTCTTGAAAATGCTCCCTATATTTAGTTTGATTTCTTTATCTGTGTCTTTTCTACCCAGAAACTTATTTATTAATTATATTTGCCCTATTTCATTTGTCAATAAGGAGAAAATTTGTCTCCTAGCAAGTTTATCATTATGAGATGTTGTAAGACAGATTACAAAAATACAGAACCCAAAATATCTCTATGGACTTCACGCCACCCTTGTACATTCTGAGGCTTCCTTTCTGTTCCTCGCCTCTTTCGCCATCTCTTTCGGATTGGAGTGAACTGAGGATATCATTATGAGTAACAGTGGACTCTGTTTTGTTGTGGTTTTCTTTTTCAGGCCTGGGTTTGGATACTTCTCCAGTAATGAAGAACCCTCCCAAGCTGGAGGGTGATGCTACCGATGGCTCCTTTGCCAATAAGCATGGCCGACATGTCATTGGCCACGTTGATGACTACAGTGCCCTAAGACAGCAGATCGGAGAGGGCAAACTGCTGGTCAAAAAGATAGCATCTCTTGTGAGAGCAGCATGTGACTTCCCTGGCCTTGAAGCTCCGGGCACAGAGGTAATCACACCTGTAGCTTTAGGTACACACTTTCCTTTTGCCCTTTCTTTCTCTGATTTCTTTCTCCCACTATTTTTTCTTCATGCTTTACATCTCTCAACAGCTGAGGATGCCTCTTCCTCAACTGAAAGGGCAGCCAGGCCTGCCCTTCTCTATCTCCTATTTTCACTGTAAGTTCTGCTCTGTTCCAGATGCAGCTGACTGGGTATTTCCCTTCAACCACAGAAAAGCCTGTGCAGCATCATTATCATCATGAGTAGAGCATTTGTTAAGTGTCAGCACACACACTTGGTGCTGTACAGAGTACCCTTAGGTAGCTTATTGTTTGTTGCAGTCACCCAGGCACATGGCCATCTGTGGGCAGAATAAAATCAACCAGATGGATAAAAATTGAGGGGTCTGCAGGTGTGAGAAGCCTGGCAGCCATGGATTTCCTAGTGCAGTCCGCAAAGTGTCCCAGAGTGCTTCACTGTTGAGAGCGACCAGACACCAGTGGCTGTGCTGTCCAAGCCACTGGTGACCCATGGATGGGGAGAGGTAGCTGTACCTCCAAGGAGCCCTCGCATGAGAGGGCAAGACACACATGCAATTAGATAAGCACAGTAATGGGCTGCAGGCACAGTGTGAGAAATTGTCTTCTGTGTTGCGAGGGCATCAGTGCAGAAGTAGGCATTTATGCCAGGCAAGGAAGGTAACCGGTTCATAGAGGATATACCAAGTGGGGGTGAGTACTGAGAGCCTTGTAGGTTCTCCAGTTAGAGGAGGGCATTCCTGGTAAAGGGAACAGCACCTTGGTCCTGGGAGGTACAAATGGCTGAGCAAAAGTTTCATAGGTTCAAGCAGACCCATGTCTGTGCTTCACTCACAAAGGAAGCTTGAGCCCTGTGCTTGGAGCAAGGGAAAAGGAATCTCTCAGCTCCAATGATATCCATAGCTCCCTCTGCTTTTCCCTAGGTTCTGGGCAGCAAAAGCATCCACGAGCTTCGGAGCAGTGCCAGTGCCCTGCACCATGCCCTGGAGGAATCGGCGTCCCTCCTCACCATGTTCTGGAGAGCGGCCCTGCCTAGCACCCACAGCCCTGTGCTGCCTGGGAAAGTGGTAAGATGCCAGTGTCCTTTCCTGGTTCAAACCCAGCTCTCCTGCCCCTCCGTGTCGTTCTGTCTCCTCAGTCCCACAGCGTTTCAGAAGATCACGAGCCACATAGTGAGTTGGGATAGATAGGACCTCTGGGGAGTGTCCCTGAAGGAGACCTCTGATCCACGGTGGCTGCTTTCATTGCAGCTCTGACTTCATCCTTTGTCCTCCCACCCCCCTGGCCCCTGGATAAGAAATCAAAGAGGAACAGGAAGGGATATGGAGAAGGCAGAGACATAATAACCCTGATAATCCATAAATGTTCAGTTTCTTTACCTTTCTGAAGTTTGGCTGAGCTGAAATTCAGGGACGTGTTAAAGCTTCAGCACCCCATCTCCCAGGTCTGCACAGTCAAATGATTGCAGAATGCCACCATGACACAGTGAGCTTCTTGTAGCCACCCGCTGGGATCCCAGCATATCACTTAAGTTTGCATCTCTGGCCAGGCCTGGGGAAAGTCAGCCAGCTCTCAGGATCTGTTCAGATCTCAGGCTGGCTCTGATAGGCAGACCCTTGGGTAGTCAGGTTTCATGATCCCTTCCTCGGGGATTCTAGCTCCAGATCAATGTCAATGATACCTTTTGGGACCCAACTATACTAATTCCAGGGAGAGGGTGTTTTGCTGTCTTCATGCTGGCACAAATATTCACAAACTTGCAAAGTTTCCTCAGACAAAATATTCCTGAACTCCCAAGTCTTATTTGTGATGGGGGAGTGATAGAACGAATGTCAGTACTAACATTGAGGTCTTGTTCACAGCTGGGAGTTTTCTAGTGGCTTGGAGCCAGGTTCTCTTCAGCAACAGGGGTGTAGGCCTATGCTGGGCCGCATGGGTATCCGGGTTCTCAATATTCCTTCCTAATGGCTTCATCCTAAACTATCCTCAGCTAGAGGGTTTTAGAGGGTTTTAGGGGCTTTAGTGGAGGGAAGAAAGTCCAGAGACAGATGAGAAGATTATGGAATCCTACTTTGGATCAGAAAGAGCCACAAAACACAGGGTGCTTTAGGTCTTCTTACTCGTGATTGAGAGCCTGTTGCTCTTCCCCAGAGAGAATCAACGGAAAGGGAACTTCTGGAACTGAGAACCAAAATATCTAAACAAGAAAGGCTCCTTCAGAGCACAGCTGAGCGTCTGAAGACCACCAACCAGCAGAAGGAGAGCATGGAGCAGTTCATCGTCAGCCAGTGTAGGTGCCCCTGGGCCAGGGAGTGAGAGACTGAAGGGGTGGTCCTCAGGTGCCCCCCCTTGTGCTACAGATGAACAGTGACCAGAGCGGCTTGGGGATGTCGGGAGTAGAGACTGATTCGATGTCCCTGAACCTCCTGTGCCATTAGTAATTGTGGATGACGAGGGAGGGGAGGATGGGGAGCAGCAAAAGCCCCCAAGCTGAATGGCTGGATAGAAATGCTTTAGAATGCACACGCTGAGCAAGTAGGGGCCCTGCTGGTAATTTCTGCCCTGTGGGGCTACTTTGTTGTTTCAGTGACCAGGACACATGATGTTTTGAAGAAGGCAAGGACTAATTTGGAGGTAAGGAAACCATTGTATCAGTCAGAGCCTGCCCCCAACCCATCACCAACTGTCATCAGAGTCTGTTCCATGAGAGTAGGTGACCCTTGTCCACGAGAAGACTGTGGGTCCACCTGCAGGGTCAGAGGTCCTCAACGAGTGCCCTGATGGTTTCCATCCCCATCACTCTCCCAGCCAATCAGCTCTCTCCCTTGCATCTTTGTTTACTCTCACATTGTCATCTCTCCTTTCCACTCCAATGTTCACTCCTTTATGTCAAGTCAGGAGTCTGGAGAGATGCAATTCAGTTGACTCTTTAGGTCAGCAGACATTTGGGAGTCTGCCTCTGAATTAGCTTTTGGTAAAGGGATCTTAAGGCCAGTTATGTGTTCTGGTGTTTCCTATATTACTTTATGAAAAAAACAAAAGCAAAGTGCAACCTAATAGATTGATTTTACTGCACACTCCTGGGTTGAGAACAGCAATTTGATTTTGATATATCTTTTTCTTTAAGTAACATGATGAAAGAGATCTGTTGGGTCTCATTGATCTAAAAGAGGATTTAATAATAAATATTACCTACATTTACATAAAACACTAAGTGTTAATCATTCCCTAGGAAGTACTTTGAAGAAAAACTTGAGGTGTATGAAATGGTTTAAAAATCAAAAACTAAACCTTTTAACTTGAACTTTAAAGCTTTGCCATAAGCAATTGAGCATATTCCTAGAAATGGCCCTAAATTGTAACCTGACAGAATGTTGATCCCCATAGAGTGAAAATGACTTGGGCCGTGATTTAACTTGCTGTTTTTGTTTTTTTGGTTTCTTTTGCTAATTCCCTTTTGTTCTTCTCTGATGGTTCCTTTCTTTCCTGAGCCTCTTTAGAACAACACTTACAAGAATGCCTCTCTAAAGCCTTATTCCCGTCCCAGCAAAGGTAACCCAACACTCTCTCGTACCCACTAGCTTCCTCCAGCGTGGAAGCTTTTCCCTCTACTTCCCTTTGATTGTGGGAAAGGGTGCAAGGCCTGGGTTCTAATCCCAGGCTTGTCACTAACTGGTGTGTGGCTTTGGCTGGCTCCTTAGTCTCTGTGAGATCACTGCCCCCTCATCTGTAAAAGGTGGACTGGGCTGAGATGATCTCTGAGGTCCCTGCTGACGTGGCCCCTCCCTCTCCTCACTAAGGTAACTGGGGCACAAACTTAACAGGGGACTTCGCTGCAAAATGCCCTCTTTTTCCTACAACAGGCTGTTTCTATACGCATGTGTTTCATGCTAAGCACTTCTTTTTCTGGGAAAAGGCAAAGACCATGTTTTTGCTGAGACAAAGTGACGTGGAGAGTGAACTAGCCCCTGAAGAGGGAATGGTAGGATCTGACCGCCCAGTGTGCAGTGGACTTGAGCAAGGATTTAAGCACAGGGGAGGTGGGAGAGGCTTTCCTCTGACCTAGGGGCACCAGTTGTTCCTCCCTACTGCAGCGCATGCCCTCAGCTCATCCTCTTCGCTGGCTCTCACCGTGCTCCTGGCTTGGTCACCACATACCTCTCACTCCAGCCTCAGGCAGCTATCAGCAGGGCCTGACAATACACCCTGATTTGGTTCATTTTATTTTTGTCTGCAGGTGAAATCCCTAAGGGCTCTGCCGTGCACTCCAGCCTTGTGACCCTTGCCTTCCAGGAACCATGCAAGAAGCGCAGCCACCAGAGATCCTTAAAACAGCAGGAAGGATGGGCCTGTCCCCCTTTTGTGCAGCTACCTATCTGCTGAGGAAAATATGGGCCCCGCTCCTCCAAACCTGCTGGAGGGTCCAGAAGAGGGAGTCAGAGATTGGTCCTGGTGAGACTGATGGAAAGGCAGAAAGCCTTGCTGACAGTTACGGAATGCCATTAGCCAAGGTCCACTTGGCCCGGCACTAAGCAAAGTGTGTAGTTTGCATAGAGATTTTTGTGATACTGCTTCTAAACAGCCCCAGTGGCTCAGGAACTAGCAACAGTACATTTCTCGCCTCATCAGCTGTCCTGAGATGGAAAACTCAGTGGAAATAGAACCTTGAATCTTTTGAATGGGTCAAGTGGTCCTAACACTGGAGCTCCTCAGGCAGTCCTAAAAGCACACAACTGAGCAGTGGTGCCCTGCTGGACAGTGCCGGCAGGGGCTCAGTGAACACTACTCATAGAGCCACACCTGACTCTGGGCCAGTTCTGTTGGGTCACACTGGGCTTTAGTTTACCCCATAGCATCTGAGTTCTTTGAGTTCACATCATGAATGTGGTGACTTCCCAGATGCCATCTTAGGCTTAGACTAGCGCCTGCTATTTCTTTTCCTATATGATCTCCAAATTGGACTGACCTCACTCTAAATATGCTATCCCATTTTGTCATCCAATCTTACCTCGGGAAAATTGAGGACTGATGGCCAGACCAAGCCCATTGAAATTCTTGTACACAGCACACCTGTGCTCATTTTTGAGTGGCCTGGGAGAGGCACCCAGCCATGCGAAAGTCTAGTCTGCATCTTCAGAGTGCTTATCGGATGTGTGTTTGTGTGTATAAATGTCTAATAGAGATTTATATATGTTGCTATAGCCATATGTTGAAGGCCAACATACCTGGTGGACAGGATCGGTGAGAGGAAATCAAACAGTCTTTCTGGTGACTATTAAAGCAAAATCTGTACAGAGAAATAAATAGTTTTTCTTTGCCTGCTTTGTTTCCCATTTCTACACCAGTCTCTTGACAGTATAATAGGAAAAACAAACTGTGGTTAAGAAGCTCATAGTCTAACTTTCAAAGATTAAGATTTTCTCTCTTTGTCATTTTGTAAGAATCCTCAGTCTGAAAATATGAAAAATAGTTCTTAAACTTGGTATACCTTCGATTCAGCTGTGGGGATTATAGAAGCTACTTCCTGGGCTCCAATCTCAAGAGATTTAGTCATCAAGGGCCCTTAAATCTTCATTTTTTTACAAAAAGCACCCCAGGTGATTCTGTTGCAGATGGGCTGCAGACCATAATTTAAAAAACATTGTTCTATAACACTGAATCAAAACTGTGAATAAATTTGTTTAAGACCTTTAATCGAAAAGTACATGTCATTCTACAAACACTGCTATAAAGACTTTAAAATATTCCCTGGGAAAAGTCCTTAGCTACATCCTTTTGACCTCCAAAATTAAAATAAAGCTATCACTCCACAATTATTTTTTAGAAGCATTTAAAAAGTGAAAACAGGAGGTGCAGAGTAGAATGTGGAATAAAACTCTCCAGTCATGGTTCCCCTGTAGGGACAACAAATCAAACAAGTATCTATACAAGAAAATACCTTCATAAGAACTAAATAATCAGGTGAGAGATCACAATACCTAGTTTTAGCATAATAACAGGAAAAGACACATTGAAGAGGGTAGGAAGAATGGTTTCTCTCATTGCCTACTGCACTCTTTCCCCAAGCCTAGGTAGTGCAATGCAGAGTGAAAATCTAATGGCTTGGAGATGAAGAGGGAAGTGTGGGACCTTGTACTAGAACTTAGTATCAGCCCTGCCACAGTAAAACACAGCACCTGGCCCTTGATTTCAGATTGGTGCCCACAGAGGGAGCATTTAGATCTGCCCCAGACCAGAAGGGAAGCAGGTGGAAACCTGGCACGTGGAAACTGAGTTCCAGCCCATTTTACCACTGGCTGACTAAAGTGACCTTGAGCCCTGAATAAATTTCAGTGGCAGGCATGCCATGGTAACCACAGTCTTTGGGTGAGTCCCAGTGCCACACAGGTCTGGGAGGCTGTAGGCTTGGGGTGCAGCCCAGTGTGACATCAGCTGCTATAGCAGCCATGGAAACATCTGCATCACCCCTCTCCCAACTCTAGACAGTGCATCATGGAGAGACTCCTTTTGTTTGGGGGAAAGAGAGGGAAGTGAGCTAGGGACTTTACCTGGGAACCCAGAGAATACTCACTGGAAGAACAAAATTTGAGGCATCACACTACCTGACTTCAAAATAAACTACAAAGTCTATGGTAACCAAATTAGCATGGTACTTGCATAAAAACAGACACATATACCAATGGAACAGAATAGAGAAACTAGAAATACATCCATGCATTTACAGTCAACTAATTTTCAACAAAGTTGCCAAGAACATACATTAGGGACAATTTCTTCAATAAATGATGTTGGGAAAACTGAACATCCACATTCAAAAGAATGAAACTAGCCCCCTATCTCTCACCATATGTAAAAATAAACTCTACATGCATTAAAGACTTAAATGTAAGACCCCCAAATCATGAAACTGCTAGAAGAAAACACAGGGAAATGCCTCATGAAATTGGATTTGGCAAGGATTTTTTAAATAAGACCTCAAAAGCACAGGCAACAAAAGCAAAAACGGACAAATGGGATTACATCAAACTAAAAGGCTTCTGCACAAAAAAGGAAAAAATAAAGTGAAGAGACAGCCTACAGAATGGGATAAAGTATTTTCAAGCTCTGCATCTGATAAGGGGTTAGTAAGTAGAATATATAAGGAACTAAACTCAATAGCAAAAAACCCAAATAATCTGATTAAAAAATGAACAAAAGACCTGAGTAGACAGCTCTCAAAAGAAGACATACAAATAGCCAACATGTATATGAAAAAATGCTCAACATCATTAATGATCATAATAATGGAAATCAAAACCATAATAAGATACCACCTCATCCCAGTTAGAATGGCTATTATCAAAAAGACAAAAAATAACAAATACTGGTGAGAATGTGGAGAACATGGCATTATCATACACTCTGGAAAATTGTATGGAGGTCACCAAAAAAATTAAATATGGAACTAACATATGATCCAGCACTTTCATTACTAGGTGGCTATCCAAAGGAAATGAAATCAGTAGGTCAAAGAGACATCTGCACACCCATGTTTATTGCAGCACTAGTCACAATAGCCAAGACATGGAATTAGCCTAAAGGTCCATCTAAAGATGAATGGATAAGAAAATAGGTGTGTGTGTGTGTCACACACACAATGGAACACTATCTAGCCATAAACCAGAATGAAACTCTGTCATTTGCAACAACATGGATGAATCTGGAAGACATTATGTTAAGTGAAAAAAGTCAGGCACAGAAAGACAAACACCACATCTCACTCACGCGGAATCTAAAAAAGTTGATTTAATAGAAGTGAAGAGTAGAACTGTGGTTACCAGAGGCTGAGGAAGGCAAGGGAAAGGAAGGGACTAGGAGAAGTTGGTCAATGGGTACAAAGTTACAGTTAGGAAGAATAAGTTTTAGTGTTCTATTACACAGTAGAGTAACTATAGCAAACAACAATGTGTTATATATGTCAAGATAGCTAGAAGAGAAGATTTTGAATGTCAGCACAAAGAAACGATAAATGTTTAAAGTGATGGATATGGTCATTATTCCAATTTTATCATTATGCTATGTATACATGTATTGAAATATCACATTTTACCACATTAACGTCAATTATAAACAACAAAAAAAATGAAAATATGAAAAGAAACAATGACAACCAGAACAAAAAATTGGTAGAGGGATTAAGATGACCAGTTAGACACAGGTAGTATGTGCCTCCTCCATGGAGAGGAACCGGAATAGTAAGCAGATACTCATTTTGAACAGACCATCTAGGAGAGAATGCTAGGATTCACCAGAGAAGTGAAAGGAAGCACCAAAAGTAAGTAAGGAGAGGGGTGCTTCGAGGCAGCTTGCATGGCCAGGGACTGGCTGAGAGCTAGCAGAAGCTCCTGAATGCTGGGAAACAGTAAGAGAGAAACTCCCAGGTCTCCACATTCCAAAATGGGTTTCACCATCTACGGTAAAATCCCTCGACCCACGCAAGCCTCAGACCTAACTTGGGAAGGTGCCTAGAGGTTGCACAAAGACATTGCTCCAGAAACGGAACCCACACAGAATCCCACAGGCACCTGAGCCTGAGCAGTTTAAGCTGGGTGACATTTTGACAGCCCACATACCAGGGATCTACAGATGCAGCTGCTGCCACTACAGTGCTCTGAGGAGGGAGAGGGGAGACTGGGCACTCCCATGCACAGCTGCTACGGGCTGCTGTTGAGACTGAAATGTGAGTGGACTACACCCCTCACAGCTTCTTGCTCATGCTGCTTTCCTGGGAGGGGCCCCACCGTCTCTGGTAGCAGACCCAAAAGGGTATTTTGAAAGGTTAATGCTGGGCTGCGTCCTGCCCTCAGGTCAAGTTCGAGCTGATGCTGCTGAAGCTGCTGCCTGGCTGAGGAGGGACAGAGGAGACTAAGCTCTCCTAAGCACACTTAATACAATACTCACTGCCCTGCTACAGGCAGCTGTTGGACTAGCCCACCCAATCCATTGCAGCTCCCAGCAACACCAAAAGAGATTTCTTGGGTCCCGGTGGCTACCTCTACCACTACTACTGCCACCAACAACATCATACCAGCTTCCCAGAGGCCTGAGAATCCTCCCACACATGAAGCCACTACTCCCACTGCTTGCCTCTGAGGAAGCCACCTGGAGGCCCAAGAATCAGCCCTCCAGGACCCACTAGAACCAGCACCAGCAGAGGCTGCTCAGGGGCCTAAAAAGAGGCACACTCAGCCCACTGCTTCTACCACCAAGGCCTAAAGACTGGCTCGACTGGCTTCCAAGGCCCCAGTAAAATTTCACCACAGCCTCAACTAATATCCTGTTATATCCCCTTGCTGAATTGATCCCTTTATCATTATGTAATAACCTTCTTTGTGTGGTTTTTTTTTTTTGCTGTTTTTTGATTTAAAGTCTGTTTTATCTGATATAAATATAGCTACTCCTGCTTGCTTTTGTTTTCTATTTGGGTGAACTATCCTTTCCACCCCTGTTAGTCTGTGTCGTTATGGGTAAGGTGCATTTCTTGTAAGCAACATATAGTTGGCTAATTTTTTTTTTATTCATTCTGCCAGTCTATTATCTTTTAAGTCTTTTAATCCATTTACATTCAAGTTTTAATTGGACATGTGAGGCTTTGTTCCTGTCATATTGTTAGTTGTTTTCTAGTTGTTTTCTTTCTTTTTATCTTTGTGGTTTGATGAAATTCTATTGTGTTGCCATTTAGTTCCTTTTCTTCCTTCTTTGTGTGTTTTATAAGACCTGTGAGTTTTATATTGTTGTGTATTTTTTATGAATATTAACCTTTTTATTTCTATGTTTAAGCCCCTTTTGAGCATTTCCTGAATGGCAGGGCTAGTGGTAATGAATTCCCTCAGTTTTGCTTCTCCTTTATTTGTGCAGGTTATTCTGGCAGCATATAAAATTCTTGATTACCACGTTTTTTCTTTCTTTCAGAATCTAGAAAATGCCATCCCATTCTCCTCTGCCTTCAAA